TTCTCGAATTACTTGTTATCTGCTAATTCACAAGAATTTAATATTCACATAATCACAATTTCAAATATAATAAGGTATTCAAGCACAAATATGTACTCGTAATTGATCAGTTGTAATTTGAATTTACCTTACATATCATTCTTTTAACCCATTATATTTATTTCCAAAGGTTCTACAATTGTCAGACACTCTTATTATGCAAATAATATAGTTTAAGTCTAGGCATCATGCATAATACCTAAATCTTTTTAAACTTAGACTCTGATAGCAAACTTGTGACACCCCAACTCCCATTTTGCATAGAACACATATATTCCATATAACATGAAATACAAAATGTACACATTGGTCCCATAGTACAAATATAGCTATAAACAAAAGTAGCTACCAACTTTTTCTCCTATATAATGTATATGTCTTGAATATAACAAACTCTCAAGTACACATATAAATTCAGCTTTCCAAATATCCAAAAATATAAAGCAATAACAATCCCCTTCAAATCTTTTCCTTCCATTTACCTTCCACATATGTCCGACCTGTAATGCACATTTTTTGAAAAAAAAATGAGAATTAGACCATAAGATTTAGTGAGTAATTCCCTTGGTTGTTATTACAGAGTGAAAATCACCACAATACTTTTTGGAAAGCCAATCTTTATAGAGATAACATGTGATAACATTTATTGTATCAAACCTCTTTTTGTCGCATCATATAGATGAGACAATCACTGTTTCATAGCATCACATATAATAACACCTTTTTGTCACATTAAATACATGCGATAAATACACTCCTCGCATCACAAGGATGCAATAACCTCTTTTGTCGCATCACACTGATGCGATCACCCAAACTTATCGCATCATAGAGATGCGATAACACAAACTCGTCGCATCATATAGATGCGATAACAACAATTCATATGATCAAAATTTCATTTTAACATTCAATTGATTGTGTCACCCTTATCCCAGTATACGCCTCTCCTGATTATGTCACCTTTATTTCAAATTATACATCTCTCCTGATTATGCCACCTTTATCCCAATATACACATCTCCTAATTATGTCACCCTTATCACATAGTACACCTCTCCTGATTATGCTACCATTATTCTAATCAATTGGCAATAATATATCAAAACTCAAATTATGTTAATAAATAGTATACAATTGTTATCAAGAACACTCAAATATGAACCCATACGGTTCTATATAAAAACATTTCAAATAAGGCTTTGAAATAAAACTTACCTTGTAATCACAAGAAGATGATAACTTTGAACATCAACAAGATTTAGGTAGAATCACTTAGCTTTCTTCTTCTATTACTTCGAACCAGAGAGTAAACACATACACGCACACCAACTTTTCTTTCTTTCTTCCTTATCTCCTTTAAACAACTTTCCAGGAGATAAAGAAAATATCATAATAAACATATATAATTTTATAAAAGAGGCGGTGGGCTTTTAAACTTTTAATCTATTTATCAAAAGTTTACCCCTCAACTTAATGCCATAATTCAATATCCACTCCAAACTTTCAAACCTCTATATACTTGGTTATCATAGAACAACAACAAAAATGTGGCTTTTTTTTGTAATAATGTTGATTAATGAAATTTAAATATACTTACATAAAACATTTGTATAATAATAAAATATTTAACAAAATAAAACTTTGTTACCAAAAATACACATTATTGGATGTTCAATGTAATATCTGTGATTAAAAATTAGTCACTTTAATTTAAAAATAC